AATACAAAAAATTAGCCAGGCATGGTGGCGGGCACCTGTAGTCCCAGCTACTCGGGAGGCTGAGGCAGGAGAATGGCATGAACCCGGGAGGTGGAGCTTGCAGTGAGCCGAGATCGGGCCACTGCACTCCAGCCTGGGCGACAGATCGAGTTTCCGTCTCATAAATAGATAAATAAATAACCCAAATCCAGGCTGAGCACAGTGGCTCGCGCCTGTAATCCCATCACTTTGGCAGGCCAAGGTGGGTGGATCACCTGAGGTCAGGAGTTCAGGACCAGCCTAGCCAGCATGGCAAAACCTTATCTCTACTAAAAATACAAAAAAAAAAAAAAAATTATCCACGCATGGTGGCACGCGCCTGTAATCGCAGCTACTCAGAAGGCTGAGGCAGGAGAACTGCTTGAACCCAGGAGACAGAGGTTGCAGGGAGCCGAGACTGCACCACTGCACTCTATTTTAGGCCACAGAGCGAGACCCTGTCTCAACAAAAAACAAAACAAGACAAAAACAAATCCAGACGGGTGCAACAGCTCACTTTGGGAGGCCAAAATGGGAGAATCACTTTAGCCCAGGGTTTCTTTTCGTTTATTTGTTTTTGAGATGGAGTCTCACTCTGTTGCCCAGGCTGGAGTGCAGGGGCGTGATCTCAGCTCACTGCAACCTCTACCTCCCGGGTTCAAGCAATTCTCATGCCTCAGCCTCTTGAGTAGCTGGGACCACAGACATGTGCCACCATGCCCGGCTGGTTTCTTTTTGTGTTATTAGTAGAGAAGGGGTTTCACCATGTTGGCCAGTCTGGTCTCAAACTCCTGACCCCAAGTGATCCGCCCACCTCAGCCTCCCAAAGTGCTGGGATTACAGACGTGAACCACCGTGATCAGCGAGCCCAGGGGTTTCAGACCAGCCTGGGCACCATAGTGAGACCCCATCTCTACAAAAAAATTAAAAAGTTAGGCTGGGATTGATAGCACACATCTGTGGTCCTAGCTACTCGGGAGGCTGTGGTGGGAGGATTGCTCGAGCCCAGGAGGTCAAGGCTGCAGTGAGCTATGATCACACCACTGCACTCCACCTGGACAGCAGAGCAAGACCTTGTCTTAAGAAAGTAAATACCGCGGTGGCTCAAGCCTGTAATCCCAGCACTTTGGAAGGCCGAGACGGGCAGATCACGAGGTCAGGAGATCGAGACCATCCTGACTAACACGGTGAAACCCCATCTCTACTAAAAATACAAAAAATTAGCCAGGCATGGCGGCGGGTGTCTGTAGTCCCAGAGGAG